TTTTTTCCATTTTTTTTCCATTTTAACAGCTGCCATTCAATAACCAGTCACCCATGTCTGCACACCAGTACCAAGGCAAAACCAGGCTTATTACTGTCCAACAAGAGCTTAACTCAACCAAGTTTGCAAACATTGCATACATCAACCCAGACTTGTGTAAACTCCTCCTTAAATGGTTCAGATGAGACTTTCTCTCAGAGGTTAAGATCTGTCGTCAATTCTTCGGTACAACCATGCTCCAGGACCTCTGATCAAGATTTCAAATCATCATCAAACTGGTCTAGCCTGAAATTGACTAAAGCATCGTCTTACGAAAACCGTTCGCTAGCATCCAGTCATGTTCCAAGTGGCTTCACACCTGTCAAACTGCCATTTGGCCTCAATAGTGGAGACCCTATGATGACATTTCCAGGGACACCTGCTAAATCAACTATTGGCTCACCACTTGGGTGTTTGTCAATACCAGAGGTAAGATGTATATAGATCATAGCTATGAAATTTGGATGGTAAGTCTGCTAAACACTTTTGCACAATTATGCTTCTCTTTTCTATGTTGCTTTTATTTACAATCAAGTACTAAGAAAAGTTAAGTGTGTGGTCCGCCGACACTCACTGGGTCTTGTTTGAGACAAATGAGTGGCAAACAAAATAAGTTCATGGTGGCACAGATATGAAGGCTTTCAGAAACTTTATACTGGTAGCATAAGGCAGATTTGCCACCAGCATTAAAAAAGTAGTTACTGGTACTCATACTTTATTGTGCTATTTTTAGACACCAGGTACAAGTTTCACAGGTGTGGACTATCTAGAACTGACAGATGATGAGGACGTGGCCAGTCTACTGTGTACAGAGTCCATTGATAGCATCGACCTTGAGAAAAGCTTCTCTAACAAGTATTCAACATTATATTATATTTTCACAACCTTTGAAATTTATATAAAGTTCAAGATCATTTACTGTAGAAAATATGTTAAAATCACCTCTGAAATATGTTGAAAATATCTTTTTCATTTAATTTCAAAGAAAATAAAATAAATTGTTCGGCCCATAACTTTGTTATTTGAAGTCGGATTTTAAATCTATTTCACAGAAATTATCACCATATTGAGACAACATGTCGCGTGCAACATTTGGGTCACTACCTTGAAGGTCAAGGTCACAGCATGACCTTGCAGCAAAATTGTGTCCGGTCCATAACTTCATTATTTGAAGTCGGATTTTAAAACTATTTCACATAAATGATCACCATATTGAGACAAAGTGTCGCGTGCAACATTTGGTTCGCTACCTTGAAGGTCAAGGTCACAGCATGACCTTGCAGCAAAATCATGTCCGGCCCATAACTGTTATTATAAGTAGGATTTTACAACTATTTCACAGAAATGATCACCATATTGAGCCAATGTGTCGTGCGCAACATTTGCGTTGTTTTTACACTTTGAACTTTGTCTGTGACATAACTCAGACACTACTAGAGGTATACCTTCCTGTGTCCAAAACCTATTCAGGGAGCATCACCCGGTTCAACCGGCTCTTGTTATATTTTTTATTGTATGTTAACAATGTTATCACTGAGTGTAAACAAAGTTTGAAATTTCAAGTCAAAATTTCTCTCCAAAAAGATCATTTTTAAAAATAGTCTTACTGTAATGCTTTCCCACCAGAGGCCAATATCATAATAAATTGGTCATTTCCAGAAATTTATTTTTCACATTTTTCTGTATTCAATAATTTTTAACCGTTAATAACCACAATTTAGTGCATAGCGATAAAGAATGAGTGATTGTACATAATCTAATGCCCAAGATTTTGAAAAAAAAAGTCGGAAATACATGTAACTGTTTTGATATTGGCTGATGTTAAAAATATTTGGCGGGAAAGACTACCCGGTACCTTAATTTAGAATGTGCCTGTCAGGGCCAACATTTACAGGGCTGCCGATTTTCCGCGGATTTGCGGAAATCCGCGGATTTCGTGAGCTCCTTGGTCATTTTTGAGATCGATGTAAATTCGACAAAGACAATAAATTCATTCGTCATATTTTATACAGTACCCAAAAAGCGGCACGCTTCAGCTTTTATCGTTACACTAGCCGCCTATGGTATGTCTGTAAGCGCTTTTCTCATTGGTCAAATCGAGTCTTTTCCGGCATTCTATTTTAGAATAACCAATCAAATTACAGTTTACATTGTGGCTCTTGTCTGTTGTCAAAATGTCGGATATTTGTTTTGAGGGCTGATGACTTAATAAAAAGTTAAGGAATTTTCAGAGGGCAATTGTTGACAAAATTAAAGGGCTGAAAAACAAAGACCCAAAGGCTTATTGGAGCATGTTAAACAAATACAGTACAATAAAAAAGAAATTGTTAATAATATTGCCACTGAAGCGTTCCATGAACATTTTAGTAAGTTGAATGAAAATATAGCGAATGACGCACCAGATGATTTCAATGTTTCAAATGTATCTGCGAATAATATAGATTTAGACAAACCTTTTACAGTAGAGGAAATTAGAAGAACCATTCGTTTACTTAAAAACAACAAAGCTTCATCTTCATTTGATGATGTGTTAAACGAGTATTTGAAATATGCACCAGATAAGGGTCTCACTAAAAAGCGTCCCGAAGGATTTTAGGCGTCCCGAAGCGTCCCGAAGCGTCCCGAAGCATTACTTGTTAATTTAAACAGCCCAGAAGGGTTATATTTATTGTAAATGAGCTATATTATTATGTACTGAGGTATTTATGGTAGAAAAAAATATTCTTACTTATCATTTTTTCTATTTATATAAAAAAAAACTAACAACCTTCGACTCCAGTTCACTTGCTCAAAAACCACGACGTTTTATACCGACAAAGCGTCCGGGAAGGTTTAATGTTTATCTAAACCAAAATTATTTTGAAATACTTCGTAATTTTTAGTTAATGAAATAGTTATGTAAGTAAAAATAATAAAGAAAAATGTTTTCCATACATAAAAATAATCTTTATAAGCGCGCCCGAAATCGTACATCTATCCACGCATCAGTTCAAGTTGCTAACTGACTAACATAGCGTCCCGAAACGTAATCATGGTTTTAATTTTTATCTAAGCAAATATAAATCGTAATTAATTTCTTTTTACGAAATGTGTAAGTGACATAAAGAAGGAAATAAACATTTCATCCACAAAAATATTATTTTACAGCACGAAAACTGACGTTCCCATGGTGCGCTAACAAAGCGTCCCGAAGAATTTAGCGGTCCCCGAAATGTCATGAAGCGTCCCGAAGCCATTAATCTTTTAATTTAAACAGTCAGAAGGGTTATATTTATTGTAAATAATGTATATTATTATGTATTGAGGTATTTATGGTAGAAAAAAAGAATCTTACTTATCATTTTTTTCTATTTATATAAAAAACAAAACATACCTTCGGCTCAAGTTCACTTGCTCAAAAACCACCGTATACCGACAAAGCGTCCGGAAGGTTTAATGTTTATCTGAACCAAAATTATTTTGAAATACTTCGTAATTTTGGTTAATGAAATAGTAATGTAAGTAACAATAGCGAGAAAAATGTTTTCCATACATAAAATTATCTTTATATACGCGCCCGAAATCGTACATCTATCCACGCATAGTTCAAGTTGCTAACTGACTAAACATAGCGTCCCGAAACGTAATCATGGTTTTTTATTTTTTATCTAAGCAAAGATAAATCGTAATTAAGTTCTTTTATGATACGTGTAAGTGACATTAAAAGGGGAATAAACATTTCATCCACAAAATATTATTTTACAGCGCGAAAACTGATTTTTCCCATGGTGCGCTAACAAAGCGTCCCGAAGAATTTAGCGTCCCGAAATGTCATGAAGCGTCCCGAAGCATTAATCTTTATTTAAACAGTCAGAATGGTTATATTTATTGTAAATAATGTATATTATTATGTATTGAGGTATTTGTGGTAGAAAAAATAATCTTACTTATCTTTTTTTTCTATTTATACAACTGACGTTTACCCGTGTAATTTCATGTCGCTCTAACAAAGCGCCCGGAAGAAAGTTAGCGTCCAGTATAGGAGATTATATTTACTGACTCGCAGTTAATATAATCGTTTTAAGAGCGTTCAGTTACAGATGTTTAATATATGTTTTCATATGCTCATCTGTATCCAGGCCACACCACGTGGAGGAACTCTTACATGGCCCTTTTTTTTTTTTTTTTTTTTTTTTTTTTTTGTTAATTTACTTTTAAGAATTAGACTTTTATCAATTTATTGACCCACTTGTAATTTTAATGAATATACAGTTTAAATTTATTTAGTTATTATATAGTCCTAAAATTTATATTTTAATAGCAAAATAGTTAAAATTTATATATAATAGCCTAATAGTTAAAATGTTATAAAGTTTTTTAATTGTTTCGCCCCATCATCCAGTGCCAAACCTTACCGGTCTGTATCAATGCTAAAGCAACGACATAAGCTCACCGCTGATGGGGTAAGGATAATTTAACTCTATTTTAATTATTTATTTTCTTTTAATACTTTTTTTTATTTGTGCCAAACCTACGGGTCTGTATCAATTATTCACTGCGTACGCACATCTTTTGACCCGAATGTGTCTTAGCGTTTCTTATTCGTTTCTTTTGACCTGGCTTTTTTGGCGGTAGCATTTGTTTTTGGAATGATCAAATTAGAGTCTGAAGATTTTATTGTACGGAATTGTTTTTTTTTTACCACCAAATTTTTTTATAAATTTCTCTAATAAGTGAGTTTTCTGCTCTTCTGTTTTGGATTGCCAGGCTGCTAATGAAATTCTTAAAGAAGGAGGCGCACGGCGCCAGTTCGTAGTCCCCGTGACCGTAAAGTGCGCCTTTAATTAATGCCTCTTGTAAACTTAATTTCCGAATGTAATTTTTCTATCAAATTTGGCATTTTTTGTGGAGTCCAATTTTGATTTAGTTTAAGTACGTGATTCATAGATTCGCAATTATTGTTTTTCCAATTGATAGGGACATTGTTTGATTTCCTTGGTTCATAAATATATTCTTTTAAGGTCGGGATAAGTTTATCGGAAAGATACGTGCCAACGGTTTCCTCATATTTTTCGCGAATTTCTGTCGATTTTGTTTCAAAGTCAACAGTAGTATCTACTGCTGAAAGTCCATTTGTACCGAAAATATTTTCGACAATTTCTTTACTGTATTTTTCATTCACGCCAATTTTATTTTTAAGATGCCTTTTTAAATTTTCTTCTAAATGTCGCGTACAAAGCGTTATTCTTGAGGTCGGAAAGCTAGATTTGACAGCATTAACTAATGCCTTTTCTTCATCCGTGCCAATGACAAAATCATTAAGTCCTAACTCAGTTTCTGAAATAGAGGTATTTAACACAGCTGAGACGTGGCTGAAGAACCGTTGGTATGTTAAGAATGACCCGTCCCAATGAAGATATATAGGGCCTAACAGAATAGGAGACGTGTCTTTGCTTTTTCTAATCAAGTTTTTATCTTGATAAACAAAACTTGTTAACATAACAAGGACCTAAGTTAAATGTTTGTCTATTCCAACAACAGAATTCTTACAAGCTTTTTTAAAGTGCAACAATTGAGTATCCGTGTATAATATCACATTTGGTGGTTTACCTGGCCCCTGAACGACCTCTTTTAGAAATGGATGAGAGAGTGAATTCATAGATACTTACACTTTGAATGCCGTCTGCGGTGTTCTGTTTGCTATCTGGATTTTGCTTTTTTGCTAAATTTGACTTCATATTATGAACCATTTTAGAATCACGAGGAGCATGATCGGACTGGAAAATTATCTGAAAAATATTTGTTCACGGGTTTGTTACAAATTTTTTCTGACATTATTTTATTTTTTGTTTCAGGCGACGTCTAAACGTATTCTT